ATAGATAGATAGATAGATAGATAGATAGATAGATAGATAGATAGATAGATAGATAGATAGATAAAGAGGAAAGAGAGAGAAAGAAACTAAAAAAGTGCAAAATTTTTTTTAAAACGAAGAAAAAGTGGAACGTTCGATTTAAGAATGTAAAAAAATTGAATTAAATATAGAACAACAATAACAAAAATAATTATAATAATAATAACAATAATATTAATAAAATTACTTACCAAATAATTAATTGACGCTATCTATCACAGTATGTGTGTGTATACTATATAGTTTAGCTTAGGTTTGCAGTCTTCGACCAATAGAAACTTCAGTCACAAAATTAATAATTAATCTTAATACTTATTATTATTTTATCATTATTATTAATATTATTATTATTGTAGTTATTATTGTTAACTTCTATTTGTACCAAAAATAATTAAGCAATCGTCACAACGAAATACAAAAACGTTTTGTTTTTGATTCGGTTATTACTATCTGTTTAGCCTTTATATATGCTGAAATTCTCACCTTATATATGTATGTGTATATATATATATATATATATATATATATATATATATATATATATATATATATATATATTTTCCGGTACGATGTCGCGAGCGGTTTGCATTAACGAGTTATTGTGTTATTTATTTAATAATTCTGACAAAATTGACGATGCGGAATTCATTTACGAAATAATGGATTTCTACAATTGTGAAGATATTAGAATAGGAAAAAAAATACTTACCAGCGATCTAGATGCATTAAATCTAGAAAAAGATGATAAAATAAAGCCAAACAGTTCTGGAAACTCTAAAAAGGACAAGGTTAGTGATTTAATACTAACAGTAAAAACTATTCTGAGCAACAAAATTGAAAGCAAATTGCCTCAGTATGCTGCTCTCAACCTTTTTAAAATTCCAAGCTCAAAAAAAGCTAAATTTGAGTCAATTCTTGACGAAAAGTTAAAAAAATTAGAAGAACTATTTATTGAAGAAAGAAACATCTTCCGAGAAATAGTAAATGATGCGGCTATTAACAATAGCCCAAAGTAGAAAGAAAGCAGCAATCCGATTGCAAGACCGAATCGAGCAAGCAATCTGACTGGTCAGAGATTGTAAAACGTAAAATTAAAAAGAGCTCAAACGTTCAACACGTGGCGAATGTTCAACACGTGGCGAATGTTCAACACGTGGCGAATGTTCAACACGTGGCGAACATCAACATGTTGAAAACAAAGAAAAAAACACACAACACTAACATAGCAAATATGAAAACAGTTATAGGCACACAAACTGATAAACAAACAAATTTGAAAGCGATGAAACCTTCGCCAAAAAGAAAAGTTTTTTACGTTGGTCGATTGGACCAACAATGCACTGCAAAAGAGTTAAGCGAACACATAAATGGATTGAAATTGAGGTGCTTGGTT